AGCCAACGGCCATAGCGTGCTGGTCACACCGGTTCCCGTACGATCACCGAAGTTAAGCAGCATCGGGCGTGGTGCAAACTTGGATGGGTGACCGTTTGAGAACGCCACGTGCCGTTGGCTTAAAAGAGCAAAAAAAATGAGAACAAGACAAAGTAAGAACCAAAAACAAATCTTGTTCTACTGTCGACCTGAGGCAGCTCGACGAGAACGTGAATTTCACTGCTTCTGACCCTGGCCACTCCAAAGATGTTAGTCACTGGAGCCCAGTTCAGGAGACAAATCGTTCCCATCGAAAAAGACGGACTCAGGAAGACCTTCAAGAATTGATGTGGTGCTATCTTATAATAAGTGGCACCACCGAAATTCGAGTATTTGTCCCTAAGGAATCGGGTAGAAACCTCGGATAAATACTTAAAAACTCCGACAAGTAGCCTTGTCGTGTTTAATGGTGGATAATAATAATAATAATAATTTTTAAAAAGGTTTTTTTTTTTTTTTTTTTTTTTTGTTTCGAGAGAGGATAAAAATTTTTAATATTGCTCCTACTTTTTTTTTTGTAAAAAGGAATCTGATTTTTTTTTTCCTTTCTTTTTTGCGTGATGTTAACGAGAATGAAACGAAAAAAAAAGAAACCCTTTATCGAATAATATTTAATTATTTTCCTTATCAGCGTTATCATCAAAAATTTTTAACGATTTATATTTTTTTTCACTTTTCGATGAAAAAACGATTTTTTTTTTCTTTTCGCGTAAGTCGAATTCTTTTCTTTTTATTAAAACAAACTTAAATTTAAGAGGAAGTTTGAAATAATATACATAAATAGATTCACACTTAAAATCAAGAGTACAGAGATTTAAAACCCACCTGATATAGTAAATTAATTAATTACAAGTATTTTCATTAAACTACCTTTATTTTTATTCAGTGGAACAAAGGTGTTTACCTCAACTACTTATAGTTACATCAAGAAATATAAAATTATTAAATGGAGTCTATTATGCATTATCACAATTCAGTACACTAAAATCAGTTATTGTATAGGCTACCAATTTCTCCTGATTTTGATTGATTCAGATTTATAGGGAGTATTACACTATCTCTATAATACACTATGTTGTAATGAAACAAGCTAACATAACAAAAGGCCTAAAACAACCAACAATCAGTGAATTAACCCTTAAAGATTAGAGTATTGAAATTTTACACTGAGTCAATATATATCAAATCAATAATTAATAAATATTTTTATTAAATTACTCCAATACCTTGTTTTTTATAAAGAGAATAAAAGATATTTAGTTAAACTACTTATAATTAAACAAATAAATGCAGAATTTTTGGGTATTTGGCTCCATTTCTTTGTTAACCTAACAACGTTTTTGCAAATGAAATTCAAGTGTTAAAATGACGTTAATGTTAATGTTAATGTTAATGACTTACCGTAATAATCATATGTACCAAGGCATCTTCTAAGATTTTTTATTGCCTACATTTTCTTTTGTCACATGTTAAATCGTTGATCTTTTGTAAATTTAAACTTAAAATAATATAGTTATCACTAAATAATATAAAAAACTAATTACATCACAATAAACTAGACTCAATCACAAAACTTTTGATACATAACTTATAACTAAACTATAAAATAAAACTATTAAAATTAATTAAATAAGTGAACATGATGAAAAACGCGTGTCAACTGTTGCTCACCGACGCCATCTTTTTTTCTTATTATAAAAGTAAAGTATCGCTCTCTATGACGTACAGGTTGTATTCATCGTGGAGTTTTAAATGAAAATTTATTTACTTATTGAAAAATCTTCCAGGTCACAGAGATTTTACGCGGGAAGGAGGAGTAAGGTGGGGGGGAAATTGATTAGGTAACAAAGATTGAATTTCTATCATGTGTTTTATAGAAAAAAATTGATGTTTTTGAACCTTTTCTAAAAAAGTCTTTGTAAATAATATAAAAAACAATCTTACAGGATAAAAAAAAATTTTTCTCGTTTGAATTTAAAAAAAGATGAAGAAATTTGAATTTCTTTCTTTTTTTTTATTGATAAATTTATGTAAAATCAAAAAAAAAAAAAGAAAGAAAGAAAAAAAGTAAAATTCTGATACAATGTTGAAAACCTTTTTTTTTTTTTTTGAAAACTTTGAATTTTACTGTTTTATTATTATTATTACATATTTATTTACATATGTATTGTAAAAGACAGACAAACGTAAATGCATTGATTTATTATTTATATTGCCTTAAAATATTTTTCCTTTTTTTTCCTTTTTTTTACGATCGATTTTATTACGAGAAAAGAAAGAAAGAAAGAAAAATGTATTTGCCAATTTTATTTTCTATCTCACTCTCTCTCTGTTTTCCCATCTATCTATCTATATTACTTTCTTTCTTTATCCGATATTACTATCCCCCACCCCCCCGATTTGATGATATTTTGTTGTTATATAAATATTTGTTTTTGAATAGTAATAATAATAAAAACATTTATTTTTTGTTTGCATGCTTTGACCGAGTGAAAATTTTTTTTTTGTACTAAAGGATAAAAAGTTAAAATTTTTTAAATTTCTCCGGGGAAATATTTTTAGGAGGGGGGAGGGAGAAAAATTTAAATAAAAGGGTAAAAAAAAAAAATTAAAAATGCCCCAAAATGGCGAAAGTTTTTCTTTTTTTTTTAAACGAATTATCGAGATAAACAAACACGGTCGCATAATCCTTTTATATTATAAATTATTATATTTTATAACGTTGTAATTTTTATTTTTTAAATTTCCCGCGTTTTTTGCGTTTTTTATTCTTATGGCGCGAAATTCGAATTTGATTAGTTGGAGTAATTAATATTTTAACCAATGGTATAAAAAATAATTAAAATAATTTATTCTCATTGGTCGAAATAATTTTAAAAATAAAAAAAAGAACATTCGAACGTTTTTTTTTGGGGGGGGGATTCTTGGGGGGTTTCGACATTAAAAAAAAAATGAGGGAAATTTTTTTGAGAAAAGTAAATTTTTTCGTTTTCCATCATTAAATGTCTATCAAAAATGCATTATAAGAACAATATAGACAAATCTCACGACAGGTAATAAATTTTGTTTTTTTTTTTTTTTTTTTCTGCTTGCTATCATGTCCCTTGTCGAAAATTTCGAATTTTACATGTTTTTAAAAATTATATGTATATAACGGTTGAGAAAATCTCATGAGAATCCATCAAGATTTAAATATTAATTACGTTTTTATATGAAAACCTTTTTTTTTTTTTTACAAAAAAAAAAAAAAATTCCTTTCTATTTCCACGCCGCATCAACCTCAATAAAATGATCGTTACGAGTTTTGTTTGTGGTTAACCTCATAAACGCAATAACGGATTTTATCGGATTTGGTTTTTTTTTTTTTCTCTTCGAAAAATGATTTAAAAAAATTTTTTTTTTTATTTTTTTCAGCGTTATGACAACTGTTTTAAAATCCTTGGATTTAAGTTTTAACGAATTAGATGAAATACCTTTTGACGCCCTACAATCATTACAAACATTGGAATGGATAAATCTTCACAGGTACGTATTTTTCTCTCTCTCTTTGTTACTTAGTTAACCTAAATATAAATAATAATAATAAAAAGCATTAATAATAAAAATGGCGGAAAATTGTTTTTTTTTTTTTATTTACGAATCGTGTAATAAATAAACATAAAATCAGAAGAAAATAAATACAATGAAAACCAAACCTTATGTCGCCTTTGACCTTTTCGTTCCCTCCTTTTCCCCTTCCCCCCATTCCACCACCGCCACCACCCCCTCCTTCCTCTCCAACATCATAAAATACTACTGCAAATGATTTATTAACAATGATTTGAAATTCTAGAATTCATTTCATTCTTCTCTTTCTACTTCATACATGCATCTCTCCTTCTCTCTTTCTCTCTCTCTCACTCACTCCTACTGAAATTACCGTTCCATAAAATGAAAAGATTCTATGGAAAAACTTATTTTTTATTTTTTTTTTCGTGTAATTTTCCGTGCGTAAAGTTATTTATGTAAATAAGAACATCATCCTTTTATTATTATTATTTTTTTTTTTTTCACGTTAATAAATCAAAAAAAAAAAAAAAATTCTTTTGATTTTAATAATAACGATTTTGATTATATTATTTTATTGGTAATAAAACAAACAAACAACCGAAAAAAAATTGAATATAATCATTTGTTTCTTTACAAAATGCAACTGGTATGTATGTTATCTATTAAAATTTTATTTTATTTTTTCTAAAAAATTGTTTTCCATTAATTTTATCGATAAGATTTATGTACGTCGATAAAAGGGGAGAGGGGAGGGGGGAAACAAATTTTTTATTTAAAAAAAAAATCAATAAAATCAATAAAAATAAAATAATAATAAATTGATGATGATACGTAAATAAATAAAAAAAAAAGGGAATCCAAATAAAAAATTTTTTTATTATTATCATTATTAATAACCTTACGGAAATAAATTTCAATAAAATAATTTAATTTTATTAAATAAAAACATACATAACGTACATAACTTTTTTTTTCTTTTTCTTTTAACGGAACGACGACAGTTTTTTTTTTTTATTCTTACATGGATAACAAAAAAAAAAAATGTTATTGATGCCGAGAGAAACATTCATCACTTTTACGCCGTAATAATAATAATAATAATGTTACGATCGTTAAATTATCATTATTTACATAAGTATCGAACCCGAAAAAAAAAATTTTTTTTTTTTTTTTTGAAGAAATCTCACCTAAAAACTTTTGTCCCTACCCTCCCTTACTGTCCCCATGCCTGCCCCCCCCCCGAAAAAAATTCGTATCAACTCACGTACTTATGTAAATAAATGTATTGTTGTTATATATTTTTTTAAAATAAGTTTATAATTTTATCACGTTGAATTATTATTATTAACAAAAAAAAATGTTCTAATACTTAATTAAACAAAGTAAAAACGTGTTTTTTTATGTTTTTTTTTATAATAAAAACTTTTAATCCCGTGCATAGACACGTGAAAATTTTTTTTTTGTTTTAATAACAAAGTTGTATGCGGGTTTTTAAAAAACTTTCAGATTATGTTTTTATATACCCAAAAATTTAACGCAAACATAAAACAAGAACAAAACGCAAATTTTGTTTTTAAAAAAAAAAAAAAAAAATAAACAATTTCTACCGAACGAATGAATACTAAACCTCACGTATCATCATCATTATTAATATTATTATTATTTTCAGGAATCAAATAGCATCGATTTCGAACGGTGATTGGTCGCAGATACGTTTAACATTAACAAATATTTTCCTCGGAGAAAACGACATAACCGAATTACCTAAATCAACAACGACAAACGAAAATGTCGGCGGAATAGTGTACAACGTGCAATCGTTTGCGGATTTCGAATCCCTAACCTGGATAAATTTAGACGATAACAAATTAACAACAATACCGGAAAATTCGCTTCCGATTACGCTTCAAACGTTGAGCGCATCTCATAATTTTTTGTCACATTTCCCAATGGAAGCAATTGAAAAAATGCCATCGTTAAGTTGGCTTTATTTAAACGGGAATTACATCGAAAACATTCCGCATGTGGGTTTCAAACACAAAACAAAATTAGACAAATTAGATTTGAGAGAAAACGATATTAGAGAATTGACCAAAACAATATTCAACGGATCAATAACGATTAAAGATTTGCTTTTGGATTTTAATTACATTCAAACATTGCCTCCTCAGGTATTTAGAGGATTGAATTTAAGGAGTTTGCACATGACTAATAATAGACTTAAAGAAATATCATCAAAATCATTCATCGGACTAGGACCGTATCTAGAATTACTAGACTTAGAAAATAATTATTTAAACGGAATACCGAAAGCGTTGAAACAATTGAAAAGATTAAAACTTTTTTACATACCCAACAACAATATAACGGAAATAAACGATGACGATTTCGAAAGTTTTTCAAACGTTTTAAAAGCTCTTTCTTTGGCTCGTAATAATCTTGATTTTATACCATTTAATGCTCTCCGTGACTGCGTTAAACTATCACATTTAAACATAGGTTATAATCGCATAAGCCGAATTAACGAATCCGACTTTGATAATTGGGGAGAAAAGTTGCACACTTTAATCCTTCGAAGCAACAGATTAACCGAATTGCCGGCAAACGTTTTCCGTAAGACTCCCCAATTAAAAGAATTAAGTTTATCTTTTAACAAATTACATTACATACACGAACAAGCCTTTGCGGACTTGATTAATTTGGAAAGTTTGGAAGCATCTTTCGGTATAACGTCCGAAGATTTTCCCAAAAATCATTTGAAACCTTTGAAAAATTTAATATGGCTCTCTTTGGACAACAATCAAATCCGCACAATAAAATCCGATTCGTTTTTACGTTTTACTAAACTTCAATATTTAAATCTCGAATCGAATCGTTTGGATAAAATCGAAACGGATTTATTTCCGGGATCGGTACTTCAAGATTTGCGTGACGTTAGACTCTCGTATAACAACATTATTGAAATTGAAGAAAATGGTTTTTCAAATTTGAAAAGTTTACAAACTTTATTATTGAACGGAAATAAATTGAAAAAATTAAACGGATATACATTTAACGATTTGAATAATTTAATGGCGCTTTCTTTGACGAACAACAAGATAAAAACAATATCGCCCAATACTTTTGTCAATTTACCTAATTTAATGAGATTGGAATTGCAATTTAATCAACTTAAAATGGTTTCTTTGCATTCGTTTTTAAACGTGACCAATTCCGAAGCGCCCATGTTATTTAATCTTTCGTATAATCAAATCGTTAATCTCACGACGGGTTACACCGGAAACGAAATCTACGTTAAAGTGTTGGATTTGTCACATAATAACATACAGGAAATACCGATCAATTGCCTTCAAAATTTTGGTAAATCATTGAAAACGTTAAATTTAGGTTACAACGCCTTAACGAAATTAGTACGTAACGCATTCGAAGAATTAAAACTTTTAGAAGTTTTAAATTTAGAACATAATAAAATAATAAAAATAGACAGAAAAGGTTTTTACGGTTTGGATCTTTTACAAATAATCAATCTATCGGAAAATAAAATTGACCAACTTCAAACGGATCAGTTTAAAAATTTAGATAATTTAAGATATTTGGATCTATCGAAAAATCGTATAAGATCCGTATCGAGAGAAATATTTCAAAATACGAGATTGGAATATTTGTTGCTGTCGTCCAACGATTTCGTCGTGGTACCAAATAACGCTCTCAGCGAAATCGGTTACACACTTCGGCATTTAGATATATCAAATAATCACATAGAACATTTGGACAGCACAATGTTTCGTGAAATACCATTTTTAACACATTTAAATCTTTCAAACAATAGATTGACCATACTTCCGGATAACGTTTTCATATGGGTCGGTAACATATTAGTGTTAGATTTAAGCAATAATCGCCTTCGTTCGAATTTCAAAGAACTTTTTCACAATATACAAAAATTAAAACGTTTGAAATTATCAAACACGGGTTTGATAAACGTACCCACACTACCGTTGCCAAATTTAACCGAATTAGATTTATCTTATAATTATATAGAAACTCTTTACGTGAGTTCGGTTGAATATCTAATGAAATTAAGAACATTTATATTAAATAATAACAAGTTAAATCATTTGCCCTCCAAAATATGGAATTACATGCCTTTGTTAAAAAGGCTCGATATATCTTATAATCCTATAAAGGTAAATATTATAAATTTAAATGTTATATCAGCGCGAGATTTCGCGAAATTAAATTAAATTTTTTTTTTCTTTTTTTCAGATAATAACAAAAGATAGTTTTATAGGTTTAAAAAATTTACAAGAATTAGACGTGTCGAATTTAAAATCTTTAGAAAGATTCGATTCCGATTCTTTTATCAGACTGAAAATATTATCGAAAATAAAAATACAAACGTGGCCGCAAATAGAAAAATACAGGTTTCGACTTGGTAATTTATTGGCCAACGTTCCATCCCTTAAACATTTAACGGTTGAAATAATGGAAAGTCATTTAACGGATCAATTACTCGGATCCTTCAATCCGAAATTAAATAATTTAGAAATTAGCGGAAATAATTTAAGAAGTATAGAAATGGAAGCTTTCGAAGGTATCGAAGAGGTATGTTAAATTATTTTTTTTATTTATTAACCGATACTATTATTATTATTAAAATTCGAGACGTCTGAAAAAAAAGAATAAAATGTTATTATTTGTATAGGTCAATGAACTCACGTTAAGAATCAGAAACACGAGCCTTCGTACGTTGAAACCTGGCGTTTTCCACAGGTTGCAAAATATTCCTCATCTCACGTTAGATTTAAGTAGAAACAAATTTAAATCCTTATCACCATATTCAATATATCCGGATCATATCAGCTATCAAAACATAAGAACGAAAGTGATAGCAGGTATATTGTTATTATCCCTCGAGTGCGTGCCTGAAAAAAAATACGATGATAATAATAATAATAAATTTTTTAAGGTGGTCTCACGCTCGATGACAATCCTCTGATATGTGATTGCGGACTCACGTGGCTCGGTTACTGGCTAAGAAGATGGCTTCGGGAAACTGTACAAATTCACACGGTTGTTCTTGAAGTTGCTCAACAAATGAACGATTTGATAAGAGGTGCCACGTGCATGGATTCTTCCGGAAGACGAATACCAATAGTTGATTTATATCCGGAAGATTTAAGCTGTCACGCAAGTGCTCTAAGTCGCGGCGGTTCCGAACGTGTTCGACCTTCTTTTTTAGTATGGATTTTTTTCATTTACATCCTTCGTTTTATTTTATGATGCACGCATAATTTTTAGTTATTATCATTATTATTATCATTATTTATCAATTATTAATAATATTATCATATCAAATTATTTAAAATGACAAAATGAAAAAAAAATTTCGAACAAATAAAGACAAAATAAAATAAATAAATTGTCAGTCGTTATTGTTGTTGTTCTCGTTGTTGTTGTTGTTTGTTCACGAAATAAATTATTATCATTAATATTCATTAAAAAATTACATTTTGAGATAATAGCAAATTATGAAAAACAAACAAACGATAACAAAACAAACGACCGCTGACACATTATTATATATAATACATGTAAAAAAAAAAAAAAATATTTTTTTTACTTACTTTGTAATTTTTATTTATTAATTACACAAATGCTGTGATAAATTTTTTTTTTATTTTTTCGTTTGTTCGTTTGTTTGTGTGTTTGTTTGTTTGTTAAACTACAACCGCTTTACGGTCTAATAAAGTGCCAATTAAAATTATTTTTTATTCTTAATAATTAATAAATAAATAAAAACTTCAAATGTGTATTTTCGTTAAGTAATTCAAAAAAACCAAAAAAAAAAATGAATGGTAATAATAATAATAATAATAATAATATTACTACTAATAATTACTAATAATAATAATAATAATATTAATAATTTTATTTAAAAAAAATTTGTTTATTATTATTAACACCTTTTTAATAATTATTTATTAAATTTATGTATATCGATAAATTAATTCTTTTTTTTAAATAAATAAATAAATTTAATAATATAAACGTCACACACAAAAAAATTTTTTTTTTTTGTTTGTTTCCTTTGAATGTCGCGTTTGATTGTGCGTGCGTGTGATCGCGTTTGTATGACGTCATCATTTATTAATAATAACGAATATTATTTTAAATTGAGTATACGTACGTATTATTATTATTATTATTTGTTTTCAACTTTTTTTAAATTTATTTAATTATTAATTAATTATGTATTTATTGTGTTATTTATTTTGTTTGTTTACATAAATAAAATTATACGACCGATATTATTTATTTATTTGTTTTTTGGTACGTTCTTATTGTTTTTTTAATAATTTATTATGTATATTTATTTTTAATAAAAAATTTATTTATTATTATTAGTAAAATTGATTTTATGTGTTTTTAATTTGTTTTTTATTTTTATTAATTTAATTATATTCATTAAGTTTTATGATATTTATTTTATTTCTTATTGGTAAGATTAATAAAAATTTATTTGTATTTTTTTAATAATAAAAATAATAATGAAATGTTTATTGTTTGCGTTTTTTTTTTTTTTTGTAATAATTATTATTTGTAATTGTTAACTTAAAGTGAGAAAATTTTTTTTAAATTATTAAAATTATTATTATTTAAAAAGTGAAAAAAAAATTACAATTACAAATAAAGCTGACGATATTGTTTGTTTGTTCGTTAGTTTGTTTGTTTTTTTTTTCAAAAACGTTTCGTTACATTGCGAATCAAAAAAAAAAAATTTTTACTAATAAATTTAATTCAATCTTTTACAACTAAAAATTTGCCGAAAAAAAGAAAATTCATGAGATTTGTTTTATTGTTGTTTGTCATTTTTCTTTGTTGTTTGTTTTT